TGCACCACCACTGCCTGGTTTTGTTTTGTTTTTTAGAGACCAAAAGAACATGAAGTTGGATGGGGGGATCTGGTACAGAGGAAAAATATAATAAAAACATTGCCGGGTGGTGGTGGCGCATGCCTTTTATCCCTGCACTCAGGAGGCAGAGGCAGGCGGATCTCTGTGAGTTCGAGATCAGCCTGGTCTACAAGAGCTAGTTCCAGGACAGCCTCCAAAGCCACAGAGAAACCCTGTCTCAAAAAACCAAAAATATATAGTAAAAATATCAATGAAAAATTAATTATTAGGTATTTTAAGAGCTGAGGGTATGGCTCAGAGATAGTACATGGAACACATGAAGCAGGTATAAGGCTCTGGGTTTGATCTTTAGTACTAAAAATTGTATCTCTCCCTCCAAAACTCCAGATCTCTTTTTCTGAGTTTCATTTTCTGTGCACTATCTGTTGATATTATTTACCTATTTTTATACTGGGCTAGTGATATAGTGAGTCTATACTTACTCATGCCTAGGCATTACTTTCATAGTTTCTATAAATTTTAGATACTTTCTACTATATTGATTATCTTTTAAGATGTTTATTATTTTTATTTATGTGTGTGTATGTGTGATTGCATGATTTTTCTGCACTACATGTGTGCAGGTACCTTTGGAAGCCAGAGTGTCTTAGATCCCCTAAAACTGGAATTACAGGTAGTTGTGAGTTGCCTGATGTGGATGTTGGGCTTTGAATTCTGGTCTTCTGCAAGAACAGTAAGTGCTCTTAACCACTGAGTCATTTCTCCAGCCCCATGTTGGTTAACTTTTGTCGTTGGTTTTATTTATGATATATATTTTTGATACTGGGTCTCAGTGGGTAGCCATGGATGGGTTAGAACATGCTCTGTAGACCAAGACTGGTATGTAGACCACAGAGATCAGACTGCCTCTACCATCCAAGTGCTAGGATTCAAGGTGTGCACCACGATACTTGTGTGGTGGTGTTTTTTAAACAGGGTCCCCTTGTGCAGCTCTGTCAGGCCTGGAACTCATTATGTATACCAGGCTGACCTTGGAGTCACAGAGATCTGCCTACCTCTGCCTCAGGAGTACTAAAATTTAAAGGTGTGCATTACCATGCCTGACTTTTATGGCACACGCCTGTCTGTGTGCATGAGTCAGTGAGTAAGTGTGTGTGTGTATTTTACTATGAATATATTTTCAGTACTTGGTCTTTTTATGTAGCTCAGGTTGGACTTGATCCTCCTGTTTCTACCTCTGCAGTGTTTGGATTAGAGGCAAGAGAGTGGAAGCCATGCAGTTTTTAAGAAGCACTGGAATTTTGGAGTGGTGGTGCATGTCTGTAATTCCAAACCTTGGGAGGGTAAGGCAGGAGGTTCGCCATGAATCCAAGGCCAGCCCGGACTACATAGTGAGCTCAAGGCCAGGTAGAGCTGTAGAGTGAGATCCTGCTTCAGCAAACCAAAACCAACCCCCCACAAAATGCAGCTAAATAATGTAGTTAAATATATCAATGTTTTCCTAGCTTCTGGGCTTTGTGTCCTTGAAAAAGTCTCCTTGTTTCAAGACTGTTTTTTTTCTGGTGCTTTGTTCTGGTTTCCAGCAGGCCCGTTCTATCTTCTTGGTAATGTTCCATTCGTCCCTCTGATTGGAGGCTGTGCTCCCACCCTCACCAGTTTTGCTGCCATGTGCAAGTCCAATTCATCCTTCAAGGCCATGACTGCCTTGGAACTGTGAGTTCCTTTTAAGCAGCAACAGGATCTCTCTAGCTTATACCTAGGAAACAGGATAGCCACTGGTCTCTTGGAGACATTGCTACCTGTCCTCATCTGTTCCAGGCTGCGGGAGTCCTTGCCAGCACACAGTGCTCCTAACCTGTGTGCAGTAGGGCCTAAGCTAGGAGACCCTGGGGTTTGCCTTCTGGAACTTCATGGTAATCAATAAATGAAGGTATCTGGCTGTGAAGAAGGCTGACTATGAAATGGTGGGGCAGGAATGGAGATTTGCACAACTGTCCTCCGCGTGTCCTTCTCTGTCCACACTGCCCCAAACCTCCCCTAGTAGACCTGGATCTCTCTGGAAGGCTCGCTCTGCCTCCTTTCCCCCTTTAGTTCTGCCTAGAGCCTGCTCAGGTGACCACAGTTCTTGGCTGCTGACACCAGGAGGCAGGGTTGCTCTCTTCCTCACAGAAACACCTTCTCTAGGTGTGATGGTGACTTCGGGGGAGCTACGGATGCCCGCATATGCAGTACAGTTTTATCTCTGGGTGTGGCTGTGAGACTGGCATTTGAAATAACCAGTGGATTGAGTAATAAATGTATGAATAAGCATCATCTAATCTGTTGGGGGCTTGAATAGAACTAATAGGAAGAGGAAAGGTGAATGTGAGATTAGACGTGTGTCCATCATCTGCCCTGGGACTTTATTTAGCACTCCTGAAACTTCCATCTTCAGATCTTGGTGCTATGACTGCCCTCTGACCATCTAGATCTTCACATTCAGACTGAGTTGCCCCACTGGTTTTCTTCATCTCTGGCTCACAGACAGCAGATTGAGGGACTCATTTGATCTCTACAATATATTCATATGTACTAAGTTGTTATATGTGTCATATATACTAGAAATTATATATTATATATATGGTTTTTCTTCTTTGGAGAACCTTAAAACACTAACAACACCCAACACCCAGGCTGTTCTCTGCCCCCAGTTGTATTCTTGTCACCTCCACACTTTTCAGATTTTCAGGTATTGATCCCTTATTCAGGCCTGGGGGCCCAAAAGCTCAGCAGTCAGGGAAACAAGCCAGGGAACAGGTACAAAATCTGGACAGACTCACTTTTTTTAAAGGCTCCTGTGTAGCGGGACACTGGGGCCCTCCAGGTGTTTAGGTTCCTGTCTAATACATCTTATCACTGCACCACACCCTGCCCCTGTACCCACATGCTGTTCCTGTGCCAACAGTAGCTGACTTTAAAATTACTTATTTTATGTGGGTGGGTGTTTTGTCTGCATGCCTGTGGAAGCCGGAAGAGGGTGTCATATCCTGGTACTGGAGCTACAGTTGGTTTGAGCTGCCACGTGGATACTAGGAATCAAACCTGGGTCTTCTCAAAGAGTTTTTTAGCCTCCGAGCCACCCCCTCCAGAGCCTGCTGTTATATGTAAAAGAACAGATTTCCCTCCCTAGGGATAGATATATCTTCATAGGAAGGCCCAAAACAGGATTGGCAAGGATGCATCAGGAACAGATAAACAGTCATTTCTGCAGAGGACCAGAGGCAGTCAGGATTAAGGAAGAGAGTAAGACAAAGGGTTCTTTAACCATATCTGGACTTTGTTTAAAAATTTTTTTTGAGATAGGGTCTCACTATGAAGTCCTGGGTGGCCTGGAACTTGCTATGCATACCAGGCTGGCCTCAAACTCACAGAGATATGACTATTTCTGTCCAAACCAGATTTCTTCTTAATGGATGCTTTGATTTTTGCAGTGCTGGGAATTGAACCCAGGAACTCATGCATGCAAGGTAAGTGCTCCACAAAGCCACATTCCCTCTAACCCTTCTACTTTCCACAAGAGACTACCATGTATGTATTACTTGTGAGATGCGAAAATAAATAAAGGGACCAACCAGTTCAGTAATAGAACACCTTCTCCAAACATCCCAGGTAGATAGAGCTATTTCTTGTTCTGGGATCAAATAATACTGTTTCTTGTGGTCTGGAGAATACAGGTTTATTGTGATGTTTCTACCCGTCTTTCTCTGAAATGGGAAACACCCTCAAAGGTACAAACTTTATCTAATTCTTGTTCCCAGTGTCTAGCAAAGTGCCTGACCCTGAGCAGGTACTCACGAGGGTTGAATTCGATAAGTGCTTTTAGTAGTAGACTTTTTGAATGTGCTCACCACAGGACAGGCCTCATATTGTTCCCCCAGAGGCTAATTAACAATGTTCAGTGGTCAAGAAAGAGCATCTTCAGGAGTGTGAAATGTAGGCAGCAGCTGCCAGCCCTTATATGAGGCCAGGGTTGCATTATGACCCAGGATCTGCGGGAGAGTCATTATCTTGTTGCTTGGCATTCTTTTGAAGTCATTGCCTCAAGAGATTTCTAAACATTGAACTTGTCAAGCCTGGGCCTCATTTGTACTTTTAAGTTGGAGAGGCCAGTCCAGACAGGGCATCCTTACACAGGGTAGCCCAAGGAGGTAGGCATTAGGGGACATACAGACTAGTTCAGTCTTCTAGTCTTGGAGGGGAGAAACAAGGAGTTGACTGAGGGGCTTGAAGAAGGTATCTGGAATCTTGCTTTATTTAATGACAGTATCTGAATGCTCAGTTATAGAATATTTGACCTAATCTGTTGCATAAAGGCAAAAGGGTAAAGGAACGGATCAGTTAGAGACCTCTCCAATCAATTGGTGACTTAAAATTTTATGTGCATGCATTTTTCCTGTGCATGTATGTAAATGTATATGTACATGTATATAGTCTGTGTGTGTATGTGTGTGTACACCACATATATGCTTGATGCTGGAGGTCAGAAGAAGGTGGTCAGATTCCCTGCAACTGGAATTATGGATGGCTGTGAGCTGCCAGGTGGGTGCTGGGAACTGAACCCCGTCCTCTGCAAAAGCAGTGCTTTTGACTATTGGGCCATCTATTCAACCCTGGGTTGCTGGATTTTAGAGTTGGTAGCATATGCCATGTAGCCAAGGGTGTGCCAATGGCAAGGAAGCTGCAGACACATTTGAAGCAACTTGTCTTCCAAGAATGCCTTGACCACCAGCTTTTGTGGCCAACCTTCAATAGGACAGTGTTGGGGAACTGAAGTTAAGTACCTGGACTCTTGAGGAGATTCGGGCAGAGTTTCGAGACCACCTGTGCCAGCCCTCTCCACCCACCGTCTTCAGACTCTTGCAACCCAGAATTACCAAGACTATCAGAGCGCGCCCCACAACGTTAGACCCCCATGAAGAACACACCCGGACATTTATCTCTTTGCAAGTAACTTTTATTTACAACAGAATTGGTGGCTTTGCTCCTCGATTTTTAGGGACACTTGGCATCAGCAGCCAGAGGGAAAATCTGCAGTGAAATCGAACTCATTCTGCCCCAGCCACAGCTCAGGGAGCTCATTGGCTCGGTCTAGCCCCAGTTCTACCACCAGAGACATCAGCACCTCCTCATCCACTGGGTCAGAATCAATGATAGCTGGGCTCTGGGCACCGGCAGGAGGAGAGGCCGATCCCGCCCCTCCCGCTGCTCCGGCCTGGGCCCCAAAACCCCAGTTTTGTAGGGGCCCTGCCTCCCCTGGCTGGCCTGGAGTGGCAGCAGCAGCCGCTGCTGCCCCATGATACTGGCTATTCAGCTTCTGCAGCTGCATACTCGCCAGCAGGTGGGGGGCAGGATGCATGTTGAAGGGTGGGGGTTTAGCAGGGGAGGTGGTGGTAGGAGAGCCTGTTGGAGATGCTGATCCAGGGGAGCCAGTGGGGGCTCCATTGGCTTTGGCTCCGTTTGCGGTGACCGCAGGGTAGTGCAGGATGGCCACAGCTTTGCGATCCTTCACTCCGAGGTTAGAGTAGTCCAGAGAGTTCACCTCCTGGTTGGTGTCCTAGAAGACAGAAAGGAATGACAGTAGTAGCACTCCTCCCGGTTTTCTCTTTGCCAGCCACTGGATCTGGAACGCTCCTGCATGCCCTGAATTTGGTGCTAATCGTGGGCAGGTGGCAGGAAGAGGCCCCGACAGTTAGGTTCCTTTTGTTACTGTGGTTCTGATTCCGAGGTTCGGACCTCACGTGTATTCCTGGAGAGCCCGTTATCCGAAGTGGGCCTCCCTCCCCTGCTACTCTAGGTGCCCCTCCCCCCCCCCCCCGTCTAAAAGGGCACCCCTTTGTCCCTCTTCTCAGTCTCACTGCAATCTCTTTGTCACAGTGGTCTTGTTCCAATTCTGCTTTTTTGCTCCCTCCCTGCTGTCTGTCTTTCAATACCCCTCGTGAGTTCAGTTCGATTGTTTTTAGACAAAAGCTATTCTCATTTTTCCCTGTCAAAGCCCTGCTGTATCTTCTTTGGTAAAGCACACTGGCTACATGTCGCACCTAGGAAGACCTGATGCGTGGCCTCCTCCCTTAAAGTCCATCTTTCCATGCCATGCCGTAACATCTTTATCTGTAAAGTGGCGAAACCCACCTCCTTCACGGAGGTGCCACCACCCTTGACATCAAGTGCAGGCCGTGACATAGTTGGCATTTCAGAGTCTGGCCAGAAGTCAGATGAACTGGTGCGAGTTGATGCCTCCAGCTGGAGATGTTGGTCTGTACGTAAAAAAGAAGAAACGATAAAGGTGAAAGTTTTCTTGACAAAGGAATCACTAGAAAATTCCAAGTCAGGGCGAATTCCTTTAGCTACACAAGGATATGCTAGTTGGGTTAAACTCAAAACAGGGAGCAGAGTCAGAGCTGGAACTCTGACCTGAGGCCAGAAGCATGCTCTGTTCAGCCAGGGGCTGACAACCTCCCCCACCGCTAAGAGAGAACACATGAACATTTACTCATACAGGTTATTTCAGAGTCCAGATGCAGGGATGACACTATTCCTCATTCCTAGAGCAGACAAGTCCTGGAGAAAGCAGCACACCATGTCAATGGACCACTAGCACCCAGGCCTCCAATGGGACTGGGGGAAAGTGAGAATTCAGGAGAAGGATGACCTAGGGTCTCCAGAACCCTGTCTTGGGGGCATGCCTGGAAAAAGACTGCAGACCAGGATGTTCTGGAGGCCGTGAGGCAGCAAGAGTCACAGACTAGCTGGAAATAGCTCAGTTCCTCCAAGTCTCAAGCCCCTACAAGACAGTCCCAGGACAACTGTCCCAAAGCCCAGAGCCAGGCCACACCCATGTGTGGATGAGAGAAAGGATTCTTCCTGGAGGAAAAATCCGATGGTTTTCAGTCTGGAAGCAGCAGCAGCAGTTTGAAGAGCAGCATCTAGAAGTCCTTTGCCACAAGTCTGTCCTCATAGGCCAAGTCCTCATAGCTGAAATTACTCAGATGGCTTCTAAAGAAATGATTCTCTTGCCCAAGTGCCAGAGAGATAAGAGAATGAGGGACAAAAGCAAAAAACTAACAACCAATCACCCTCAACTCAGAAAATTAAAAATTCTTATTTTTCCTGGAATCATATTTTTTAAACCTCACATATTCACCTTAGGGAACCCAAGAGTCCTTTTCCCGAAGAGGGTTAGAATTTTCTGGAACTCTACTCTCCTTGTTACCCCCAGTGGTTGTTAACAATGGCTGGTTTCTAATGGTATCACTATCCACTATCCTTTTTCCCTTTTCAACAACCGCCTGTTTTGGGGTGGGAAAGCAAGGGGGGGCACTTGCTGACTCCCGCACCTTTGCTTGACTGAAGTGCAAACAGTGGTCTGAGGCAATCCTAGGATATTTCAGCCATCTATCTCCAGACAAGGGCGCTACCACGCGTCACTGTCAGCAGGGTCAGCAGCGTCACTATTCAAGTTCCTCATCGCTTCACCTTCTGTCTCCCGTAGGCCACTCATACCCGAATGTACAAAAGACCCCCACCCCAAGAGCAACACTAATGGGGGGATATCCGAGGAAAGTGCTTGTGCTCTGGTGTGGGATCTCCAGGCAGGCCCTTGTAGCATTCCCCTCTAGGCGCACCAGCCCGCTCGGAAAGCAGGGAGCCCGTCTAAGGGGTGATCTTATTTCCTGCCCTTCACGATCTCATTTTCTATGCCCCACCCGACCCCTCGAACCATTTGAGGGAAAAAAACTTGACCCCCGAATGTCTGGGTGAGCCGTGAAGTGACCACTGCGAAGCCGCGGCAAGCCGCTGTGAAAAAGCCGCGCAACAAGTGCCGGCTCCGCGGCTCGCGGCTCGCGCCTCCCGCTGCCCGGCCCCGCCTGGCCACCCTCCGTGTCGGTCGGCCCTGGCCCACCGTCCAGGAGGGTGAAAAGGGGTGGGGGAGAAAAGGGAGCTGCAGGTGGGGGGCCTTGAACCTGTCCGGAGAGCAAAAGTTAAAAATGACACCAACCGGTAGACTCCATCTCCATTGCTACTGAGAGATCTAAAAAATCCCAACAGCACTGCGGCTTGGCTTGCCCGCTCTCCAAGCAGCCCAGTGAGCCTCGCCACCTGAGAACTAAAGGCCCCTTGTTTACCTTCAGCTCTCCAGGCCTCCTCGACGCGCCCGCCCGCCCGGAGAGAGCCACCCGGAGCGAGTGTTGGCCAGACGTAGCCCTGGACGCCAGGCGCGAGCGGCCGTGCCCAAGGCTCCAAGCTTCTATTACCTCAGGTGCTTGGAAGCAGATAGGCGACGAGGCACGGGGTCTCCGCGTCAGCGCGACTTTGGGGACTCGCAGCGTCTCCGCGCGCGGGGGCGCACTTTGGCGCCAGTGGCTGCAGCTCGCGCGCCTCACCGACACTTCCAAGTGTCCTCGGAGCGTCCGGAGCCGCCGCTGCTCCTGGCCCCGCTAAAAGAACGTTTGAGGTTCCCAGAGGTGCAAGAACTTGCCCAAGGTCACAGTACTCAAAAGTGGCATGACCCTGCCTAGCTGTCCCACCCTAGATCAGGCGCCCCGGGAGGCAGGGGCTGGTGCCCACTTCCCCTTGAGAGGGGTGTGTGCCCGGGGGCAGGAGCGGGGTCGGCTGCGTGGGGAAAAGCAAGTTACCCGAAGGCTCCAACTTGCAGCCCTCAGCTCGGCGGGACTCGGCCCGCAGCCCCTGTCGCCTCCAACCCTCAAAGGGAACAAGAGCTTTGTGCGGCCCCTGATCGGCCTGATGCCGCCGGAGCGACTGGCAAAGTCGGGGAAAGCAGAGCCTGAGGAAAGCGCGGGCGCAGGAGAGGAGCTGCTGTTGCTGCCGCTGCTGCGGATTCCTCCAGACAAGTGATCACCCGAGTCCTGCCTGCTGCCGTCCCCCTCTGGCCCGACACCTCCAGCAGCAAACAAGTCCCCCGGACCCTCGGATCGCCTGACTGCCGGCTGTGCCCTCGGCTCCCGCTGCCTCAGCCCGGCGCTCTGCCCGGCGGCCCGGCTTACCTCCAGCCAGGCTGCCTGCCCGGAAGAGAGGGAACCTTGCAGGGATAGAGGCTCGGACGAAGCGGCCGAGCCCCCAGCCTCTTGGCACCACCACCGCTAGCAGCTCTCTTTCAGAGCCCCCGGCCAGCCGCACGGGAGGCCACCCGACCCCAAGGCGCCTGGGCAAAGCCTACACAGCCGCGCCGCGCCGCGCCGCCGTACTGCACCGTGCAGCTCCGATCAGCCCTAGCCCGCGCTCGTGCCCGCCCGCCCGCAGCTCCGGCGCCGGACTCCGGGGCGGTGGCGTTAGCAGCCGCCACCACTCTTGGTTCTCTGCGTGGGGACCCAGCTCTCAAGCCCCCATGGGCGCCCGGAGAGCGCTGGCACACACGCACATAGCAGCAGGCTGGTCTTGGCTAGGAATCCCAGGAAGGACAGACCCTTTTCCCCCCTTTTTTCCCCTCTCCCCCCAATTTTCACGTCTTTATAACCGGCTTAGGGCATTATTAGCACATGTCCTGGCTCGTGGGCGAGTTGGTGGCAAAATCTGAACTGGATACTTACGGAGGGTCCAAGAGGGTGCTGTGCCTTCCTCTAGTCTGGTCCTCCTAGCTGGGAGCAGCCCCGCGCCGATAGGCTGTAGGAGGAGCAGCCGGGCGGAGCGAGCCTCCTCACCGCAGCTCAGCAGCGCACTTCTGCAGCTGTGCCGCCAGGATCATTTTATAGAGGCGGCTGGCGTGTGTGGCCCTTTAAAGGCGCTCGAGCTGGTGCAGTCACCGTGGATCTTGTGAAAGCGGAGGGCGGGCTAGGGAGCGGAGTCCGTGCGTCCCCTCCTGTCCCTCAGCCCTGGGGGCACGACACAGCTACCGGGGTGGGGCTGATGGTCCCAGATTATTATCACTTCTCTCCCAGTGCCCTGACCTGTATCTATGTTTCTAAAACTGGTGGCAGCCCGAAGCCAGGACGTGGGCTCTCCCCACCACCCTGCATGGACTTGCCCAATAAATTCCACTTAGTAATTTCACCGAGGCGAGGGAGAGCTGTTAGTGTCTGTTTTCTGACCTAAATCAAGCGGGTGGCCAGGACGAGCTTCAATGGATAGAGAGGAGAGCTGTTGGCTTAGGGAAAGACCCAGAGGAGGGACTTGCACATGGGACATGGTCTTAGTTTTCTGCAGAGCTTTCTCTGAGCCGATTTGCCCTCAACGGGCTACATCGTCGTGGAATGGCTTAGGCTGGAGGATGCCTTTTCCCCTAAACTCCGTACATTTTGTTCAGGGCAGCTTATTAGAGAGATCGTATGGCAGCCGTGGCTTCCCTCAAGGCCCAGGGTTGGTTTCAAGGCTTTTCGTCCAGTGGTCATCCAGGGCAAAAAAGGGGCTGGCAGGATGCAACGACGCTGAGAAATGCTGTTCTACCGGACCGTGGGGCTAGGTGCATGCGTGCAACTCACATGGCTTACGGAAAAGCCAACTACAGGCAGCGGGTTCGAAAGGCTTGCCACAGAGTTCGCAGAAATTCCTCTTGCCTTTCTACGACGCCAGGTTATTTTATTATGATTATATAATTATTCACATCTAGCAAGAACAACATTCTGCACTTGGAGCACATCTCTCTTGTGTTGGTACGTTGTCTTACAAATCCTTGCTGAAAGAGATCTGGGGATTCTCATTTCAAGGCATTCCCTGTGGCTGGAAACTCCCACTTCACCCCTTGCAGGAAGGCCACCAAGATTACCCCCTCTAATCAAGCTCTCCACTCTCATCCTCACCCCCTCCCACCCCCTCCTCTCAACAACTCAGTTTACACTGTTTGCAAAACATGGTCTTTTGAGAAAGTACGTTGTTAAGGAAAATGGGGGAGGAATTTTGCAAAGGCATTTTCACCGTGTGTCTTGTGTTTTAATTGGCGTTGAAGACCTGACGATCTTTTTTCTTCTTTTAGGATCGCAAGTGCCCTGAATTCTTTTAACGGGGTCCTGTTTGTTGATGAAATGACCTGCTTGCTTACAAGAGGGGGCGCAAATGAAGGGACAGATCAAGGCTCTTCTTTGGCATTTCGAAGAAGCTGCGGTGAGTACCCTGGACAACCAGGGAACCCCACTCCCCCTGTTCGACTGGAAAGCTGCCTTCCTTGTGCTACTCATTGCTTGCCTCCTCCCACTCTTTTGCAAGTCAAACTTGGGTAGGGAGCACATGTCACACACCATCACTGCACTTTCTCATTTGGCTCTAAGGTTGTGGGTCATGCCTAGTTTCCTGAAGGGAAAAGGCGCGATATGTGGGACCCTAAGGCTCTTCTGGGGTAGCAGGAGAGGTACACCTTCAAAGCTTCTTGGTATTTGTGAAACTTTTTGTGAAAGCAAGGGTGGAGAAGGAGCGGCCTTAGGCTAGACTTTAATTATGGCTGCTAATTTGGACCCCTGGTCTTGCCCCCTCCTCTTTTTGGACTCTGGAGATGGTTCCTTAACTGCGGACACAGCTGGGCTGCAGGCTCCGGATCCCAGACCTGTGGATCCGCCCTCCGTCTATTGGATGGCTCCCAGGCCAATTGTTAGAAAGAGGCATATGTTCATCTCAGCTTCTGGAGTGTCTCCGGAGCAGTTGCTCAACAGCTAGCCCCCTCCCCCATCGGGACTATTGAAGGGCAGAAAAAGGAGCGCCCTCCACCACATTTCTATATGCCCAAGTTCCAGAAAGCCCCCCCCCCCACGGATGACTTCCTGTCATCGCCACTGCCCACCTCCCAGGGAGTAGGAATAAGAGGGTCTTTAAGCTTTGAAGCAGGAAAGCCACCCATTTCTTTTTGGGGGAATGAGAGTTGAGGTTAGTGGCTGAGGCTGAGAGGGAGCAAAGAAGATATTTGCATTTCTAGTAAAAAATGCTTTGGATCACTGACTTCCCAGCCCGCCCCAGGCTAGCTCGGAGCTCGGGGCTACCTCGGAGCTCCGCTAAACTCTTTTCTCCAACTTGGCAACTAGACCACAAGCTTGTGAAGCCAAGGGAGAAGTGATGCTTACCCAGCAATAACCTTCTAAATGCCAGCCACAAACCGGGCATCGATCATTCTCTCCCTTCCATCCTCTCATTTAACTCGTATGACAGCCCAGTGAGGTTGAGGTACCAAAGGTGAAATAGCCTCAGAGAAGTGCCCAAGTTGGCACAGTCAAGAGGAAGGGAGTTTTGATTCTGGTGAGGCTGGCTGCAGTCTTTACTCTACACCCCTACAACCTGCTGCCTTGGAGGGCAAAGAAGAGGTCCAGAGTGCAGGTTCAAGGGTCAGTCGCCCGGATTAAATGCCTGCTCTGCCATTTGCTAGCTGTGTGGTCTTAGGGTAAGAGACTGTGTTGGTGTATATGTGCTCAGTTTTCCTATTAAATAGATACCATAACAAATTTACATAATCTGTAAGGGTTATGAAGAAAGCCTTCGCTTGACTGATGCTATGTAGTAAAATGGCTAGTACATGCTGGGATTGATATTGTAATGTGACTTTTGATTTTCCTTTGGCCCTGTCCGTGCCTCAGCTCACACTCTTCAGGGTCAATAATACTTGCTGACAGAGTAATTTGAATATCAGACCGAGAGGGGGATGAAAGAGGTCTATAAACTCAGGAAGAAAAAGGAGATGAGAATGCAGATTTGTTTTCAAAAACTCCACTCGCCACAGCAAAAGCTACCTGGACTATATGACAAGAATAATAATGGGATCAATAAAAGATAATCATGTTTTATAGGTCAGCCTGTAAATGTAGAAGTGAACTCTGAAAATAGACTTGATGTGTGTATAGAAAAGTTTAAAAGTACAGACTTAAATCGCAAAGTATGTGTATGTGTGCACTTCTGTGATTTCATTTATACTGCATGCATGCAGGAGGCCAGAAGAGGGAGTTGGACTCCCTATAACTGGAGTTACAGGTGATTTGTGAGCTACTATGTGAGTGCTGGGAACTGAACCAAGGGCCTCTGCAAGAGCAGTAAATGCTCTTGACTCCTGAGTCATCTCTTCACCCCACCCCTACACACTTTTATTTGAGTATATTTAGAAGAGCCATTGTGGTAGCACACACACAGCCTGTTACCCCAGTACTCAGGAGGCAGAGACAGGATAATTCGTTCCAGGACAACCTGCGTTACAGGGCAAATTCCAGGCCAACCTGGGCTACACAGCAAATTTCAGAAAAGCCTGGGATACATATAAATAAGCATACATACATGCATGCATACATACACTCCTATATGAACAATTCTCCTTCATGTACATATATGAAGAATTGTTTTTTAATAGAAACCAGCCATAAAAGTTCATGGCCAGGGAGTTTTCCTTGGTATCTTAACTACTACCTTCCAAATTACTGATTTTAAAAACTTTTATTCATGAGAAAATATTGAATAAAAGCCCTGAGTACAAAGTTGCATAAATATTATGCCTAGGTGCAGAGGGTACAAAGGCTCCAAAATGAATCCTTCTATGCTTCCAACCATGTATGAATACACAAATAAAGCAATAGTCAGAAAAACACCCAAAAGACAGTGTCAGCAAGGGGCAAAATTCTGAATTGTTTTTTTCTATTTTCTCTATATTACATAGTGTATTACTCTTTTCTGTTGTACTTATTTATTTGGTGTGTGTGTGAGAGAGAACGTGTGCATGTGTGCTTTTATGTACCTGCCACCTTGTATGTGTAGAGGTCAGAGGATAGCTTCACATGTGCATCCTGGAGATGTAACTCAGGTCATCAGACTCATTACCTGCTCAATCATCTTATCAGTCCAATGTCATTGTCATGAGATAGGGTCTCTCTATGTAGCTTTGGTTGTCCACGAACTCAATATGGAGACCAGGCTGGCCTCTAACTCATAGAGATCCACTTGCCTCAACTGCTGAGACTAAAGGTGTATGCCACCACATCTGGTTTATTTTTCTTTTAAGTAAATATACACTTATAGTTAATA